GGAGTCCTGAGCGCACCACCCGGTGGCTGGCCCACGCCCTCCCCACTGTGGGACTAATTGATAAGCAAGTGTGCCTTCCCACCAAGATGTATAAGGCCACCACCCAACCACAACAGAGTGAAGGGAGCCACAGGAGGCTGCTGGCCACAGAGTGCCACATGAGCACAGTGAAGGAAGCCATGTGAGACTGCTGGCCACGGAGCAACATGTGAGCACGGTGAAGGGAGTCACATGACACTGCTGGCCACGGAGCACCATGTGAGCACAGTAAAGGAAGCCATGTGAGACTGCTGGCCACGGAGCACCATGTGAGCACGGTGAAGGAAGCCACATGACGCTGCTGGCCACGGAGCAACATGTGAGCACGGTGAAGGGAGTCACATGACGCTGCTGGCCACAGAGTACCATGTGAGCACAGTGAAGGGAGTCACAGGAAGCTGCTGGCCACAGAGCACCATGTGAGCACAGTGAAGGGAGTCACATGAAGCTGCTGGCCACAGAGCACCATGTGAGCACAGTGAAGGGAGTCACATGAAGCTGCTGGCCACGGAGCACCATGTGAGCACGGTGAAGGGAGTCACATGACGCTGCTGGCCACGGAGCACCATGTGAGCACGGTGAAGTCTATGAACATCTGGCTCAGTGCAACTCACTGTGTGTGATGGCTACAGGTCAGCTCGTCCCAGCCTAGAGCCCACCCCTCAGTCCCAAGGCCCTGGTCTCCTCTCCTGAGCCCTGTGTGCTGTCCCCTGAACCCACATCTCCATCCTCAGAGAACCCCTCCCAGAATCGCTGGTCCTGTTTCCCTGGATCCCTCTCCTCCCGGGAGGTGGACTCGGGGAGGGCGAGGCTGAGTCCCCTTCAATGAGGACACCTAAAGGCCTAAAGGACATCTTTGTCATCGTGGGTGAATAAGGGACCCAGTGTGGTCATTGTTGTTAGGTGCCATCAGGTTCACTAGTTCATAGCGACACATGCACAACACAATGAAACTGCTGGATCCTGCACCATCCTCACAGTATCTTCTGTGCTCGGGTTCAATGTTAAGGTCACTACACCAATCCATCTCGGTGAGAATTTTCCTCACTTCCACTCACCCTCCACCCTTCCAAGCACGATGTCCTTCTCCAGGAACGTATGTGAGACCAAGTCTCATTCATCTCACCTCTACTGAGTTCTCTGGCTGAGAGTCCTCCAAGACCTGTCTGTCCGTCTGGCTGGCCGTGGTATAGCCAATGCTGTGCCAAGACCACTGTCGAAAGCTATCAGTCCTTCTGCGGTAACAAAGAGGTAACTGTGCCCCCGCCGTCAGTTTGTTCCGACTCCTGGTGACCTCGTACATGTCACAGGAGAACTGGGCTCCGCGGATTTCAGAAGCGGCCTGCCAGGCCTTTCCCCCTCACTCCTCTTGGTGGGCTCAAAATACCAGCCTTTCCACCGTGGTTCACTTCCACGGAGTCGGCTCCACCCCACAGCCGCCGTGTGCATAGAACGAAACCCTCCCGGACCCTGTGCCATCGTCACTGACTCTGCTGAGTCTCAGTCCATCGTGATGACCAGCACAGCCTCTCGAGCAGCACTGACTTCTCTGTCAGGGCTGCAGCTTCACAAGGAACACACACAGGTAAATAACACACACACACAGCACATACAGGATGCTAACATGGGGGGTGCTGCTCAGCTTGCAAAACCTACTCAACATGTGCTTTATTTGCTTAAAAGCATGGTGATCAAGTGCTTAACCACCTGCACCACCAAGGACGCCCGAGGACTCCTCAATCAGGCTGCAGCGAGACGAACACTGAGCACTCCCATGCATTCTGCACACTTTGAGGAGACTCAACCCCACTGCCGTTGGGTGTTCGATCTTGTAGAACCGTCCACAGGCTCCCAAGGCTGGAACTCCCAGCAAGAGCCTCATTCTCCGGAAGAGAGGCTAGTGGATCTGAACTGCAGACCTTTCCGTTAGCAGCTGATCCCTTCACCCGCTGCACCACCAAGGCCTCTGGAAGTGGGAAGTGGAGGAGAGAAGGCATGCAAAGACGAGAGGTTCAAAAAGGGGGCCCATGAAAAAGGACGTGTTGGAGGGTATGTGGAGGGGCACCAGTGCCAGCCTCACACTGCAAATGTGCTGACTGCAGCCCCAAGGGGGGATGCTGTCCGGGCTGTCTTCTTCGGTGTCCCAAGAACCCCTGTGAGCTCAGGGACAAGCAAGCAAGCTGTGCACCCCCAGGAAGGGATGATGAGCAAACCGAAGAATGCCACAGCTGTCACTCAGCACTGAATGTGGAGGAAGTCGCTGCGTGCGGGGCTGGGAGAGGGGCAGACGCCAGCCAGCCCTGCAGTGGAACTCTGAGGTGGTGAACAGGTGAAAGTGTTCACTACAGGTTAGAAACGAAGCCCACATGAGCATGAGTGTGCCTGGCTTCCTGGGGGGCCCAAAGTGGCATTGTGGGGAGACGGCTGGGCCCCAGCCTCATTCCAGGCGCTGCTGTCTGCCCCTCTAACAGCCACATCTCTGCTGGCCTTCCTTCCATTGGCAGCTCTGATTCTCCGAAGGTCCCTGGTGCTGGAGATAAGGGTTAGACTGCTAACGGAGGGCAGCCCGTGAAACCCACCAGCTCCCCCTCTGTAGGAGAAAGGCAAGCTGTCTCCTCCCATTAGGATTTATAGCCTCTGAAACACCACGGAGTGTTGCCATCAATTACTTGGAATCATTTTGAGGACGGTGGTATTGGGGATGGTGTGGGTGTTTGTTTGGTTGGTTCTAGGAGGATTCTGGAGTTTGACCTTGGATATCTTTGAAATCATTATTATGCCTGCCACAGAGTTTAACTGTTAACTGTTAATGAGCATCAAACCGGTTGGTAACTTCTCATCCAAAATACTGCTCATTTCCCCATCATTCTCAAAGAGAAAGAGTATAATTCCCTGTCAGGCCTGGAGAGTGGACAGGTAAGGTTTCCATCCATAGCCACAGGGCCGCAGCCTCAGATGAAGGGCCCGCCTCTCCCGGCCGCAGACAAAGGACAGAAAACGGAATCTCTTTGACTCCTGCGGGATTTTAAATGAAAGCCATACACAGACGTTTTTGTGGGTTTTTTCATTACTAGTTAAGTTGGATCTGCTCCCAGAGGCCTGGAAGCTCACGCTAGTCATTGGCAAACACCTTGAAGCAGGTAAACAAGGGCTTCCAGGAGCTCACTAACTCAGGTGCGGCGAATGTCATTGCTTTCTTGCTGACCTGAAACGTGCAAAGAGGCCTGGCACCTGAGGAAGACAGAAGCTTCTGTGGAGCCAGAAGAGGAGCAGACGCCAGGCTGCCCTCCAGGCGGAAGGCCTGCTGTGTGAAGAGGTGAGTGTTTGCTATGATGAGTAACTGAGCACGGGCGACCTCGCGCTCTCCTGGCGTCCTGGGTTGCCCACCACTGCCTTGACCAGGAAGGAGCAGGCTGACCTTTCAAGGGATTTCGCTGGTGGGAAATATGGACCCCAACATAGAGGTCCAAGTATCCCCGTCTTTTGGTTACCTAATGTCGCTGTAACCACACACACACACACACACACACACACAAAGTGTGGGGAAAGACATTATACTGGGAAAGGTGGGGGATTAGCAAAAAAGGCAGACCCTCAAAGCGATGGACTGACAGGGGTCACACCGTGGGATTGAGCTCAGTGGCGATCTTAAAGGTGATGGAGGACAGACAGGGCGAGGTTCACATCTGTTCCCAGCATCGCTGTGAGCCCTGGGAGACTTGGCAGAACCTACAACAACAATAGCTGGAACCGAAAGATCACAAGTGGGAAGCATTAACCAAGAGGATTTTGTTTTTCCCTCACAGTTTGGGCGGCTGTATGCTGTATGTCGGCATTTAAGGCACCAGCTCTGGGGAAGCGCTTGTTTTAGCTTCCCTGGCTCCCAAGTTCCTCAGGAAAATCCAGGAAGCTTGCTCCAGGAGTCCTTTGGCCGTCTCCATTTGCCAGCTTGGCCAGCAGCTGCCCCTGTCAATGTGTGAGACGCCAAACTTCATACCGAATATTATATGAAAACCCTTGTTCAGGAATCGAAGGAATTCCAAATTTCTAAGTTAGGATTTCCCTTGTGACAGATCACAGAAAATGAGCTGTTTGTTCTCTGTAGACAAGAGACAGCTAGGGGCCCCCTACAGAGGGAGTGTTAGTGTGTGTGAAATACTTTCATCTTGTGCTAAAGCATTAGGTTGACAATAGAGAAAAATTTGGCTTCATTTACAAGGAATTCTTTTTATGATTTGTTGCCCCTGATTATCAGTAAATACAGAGAGGCATGGCTTGAGGCCCTTCAGTCGAGAACTGCTGGCCCCCTGTTTTATGCTGTCTGTTCTATCTCATTCCTGGCTGTCTGTCTCATTATTAATAATTATAAAAATACTTTACCCTCGGTCTGCAACATCAATGTATTCTGGTCACTCAGGGCACATTTCCAGGAGGAGCCAATCCTTGGCTAAGGAGAAGACGCCCCTCAACAAGGTGTATTGACGTGGTCACGACCACAATGGTCTCGAGCATGACAGAGATGGGGATGACAGTGCCAGACAGAGCAAGGTCCCGCTCTGTTGTTCCTAGAGTCACTGTGAGTGGGAGTGGACTCAACAAACATGTCATCACCTTATTAGAGAATGAAGTAGGAATTAAAAGAAAATCAATCCCAAACCAAACCCACTGCCCTCGAGTCCTCTCTAGTTCATGGCGCCCCTCCATCCGGATTCCAGGCTGTAAATCTTCACGGACGGGAGATGCCCATCTTTCTCTTGAGCAGCTGGCGGATTTGAACTGCCAACCTTTCACTTAACAGTGCAACCCATAACATATGATGACACTAACACTATTTAGTACACAAAAGGAAAAAAGTATTTTTAAAAAGGCTTTCAGACCCTGCAGGGGCTTGACATTTCCTAGTGGGAAAGGAAATAAGAGCAAAATAATTACAAGAATAACCGGCTGGCAGGAGTGTGGCGATGTTTCTCCAGTATTATCTTAATGAGGAGGGAGAATGGGTCTATACGCTGAAGAAGTTCCACCCTATGGGACAACAGACCTGTTCAGCCCATCCAGCGCAATTCTCCCCGGACGATAAGTACTCGAGACACCGAATCACCAACAAGAAACGCTTCAAGGTGCTCATGACCCAGCAGCCGTGTCCGGTCCTCTGAGGCCCCGCGTAGTTCACGTCTCGTCTGCCGCCTGCTGCCCCTCAGCGGCTTCCCATCATGACGTTTGCAGTCTGGGAGCCGGGAAGCCCTGGTTCCCAGCCCTACGTCTTTCTGGAGTCCAGCCTCGATGATGTTTGGAGGAGGGAATCATGGTCGCATCTCCTTGAATGGGAGTATGTTTACCTGCAGTGAATGACACGGTCAGATTATTAAAGACAAAGTGACTTGGAAAAAAAAAAAGAATAACTGGCTACTATGTGGTCTGGTGAAAGGCTATGATTCAAAGTCAGACTGACAGACTGACTTCATATTTTCAACCTAGTTTATCTGTTCCGTAACCTTAAAGAATTATTATAGCAACCTAAGCTTCCATTCCTTCATATGCAAGATATGAATATCATACCAGTGTGATGGAGATTAAATGAGATACTGTTAGGGGATAATTTTTTCAATACCTACAAATGACTAATGGGTCTTTTTAATAATGTGTCACAAAATTGTGGTGTCACTGAAATGTTATAAAGAAAAATAAAAAGGCTTCTGCTCAGTCACTCGCAATGCTGTAATTAATAGTGCTGTAATTCAGGGCAGAAATATTTCACAAAAGAACATTGTTGTTATTGCTAAGTATCATCAAATCGAATACAACTCTTAGCGACCCTATGAACAGTGAACTTGAACCCTGGTCTGTCCTCATCATCTGTGACGCATTACAGCCCCTGCTCAAGTCAGCACGCCCATCCATCTCTTTGGAGGATCTTTCTTTGCTTCGCTAATCCTCCATCTTTCCAAGCATGATGACCCTTTCCAAAGAATAGCGTCACCCAGTTACATGTCCAAAGTGTAAAAGATAAAGCTTCGCCATCTTGACTTCCAAGGGGCACTCTGGCTGCACCCTTTCCAAGACATTCCTGTTTGTTCTTTGGGCAATCCGTGGGATATTCAGTACTCTTCTCCAGCACCACAGCTCGAAGGCATCAGTTCATCTTCTGTTATCCTTACTCATTGTTCAGCTCTCTGATGCGTATGTAGAAGGTGATTGAGGAGACCATGGCCTGAATTTTGTACACCTTAGTCTTCAAACTGGCATCATTGCTCTTCAACATTTTGGATAGATTCCTGACAGAGGACTTTGCACAATTCATCTCCTGATTTGCTGACTACTAATACCAAGGATGTGGATGATCGATCCAAGCAAGATGAAGTCATTGACAGATTCAATCCTTTTTCCACTGTGGTTAATATTCATACAGTCTAAGAAATCGTGCGTGCAAGTGATTTACAACTCTGTTTACCACTTATTCTTCTATGCCTGAAAGTGGTAATACCATTGCCAATGATTCTGTGTGGCCTGGTCCTGGGGGAGGGTTAGGGTTATCAAGAGGGTAAAATCAACCCTAGTGCCATCACTGGCATCACTGGACCCGCTGATTGCCAATGTCACCAGTGAAGGAATGTGACTTGCTGCCACTTCAGTTTTACTTCTTAGCTTGCTTGTATAGTTTCTGAATAAAGATTTTTGACAACACAATGTCTATATGAGTATGTGAAATTCCTTATCTCGTGTCCACTTGCTTCTACATGATTTTGATCTTTATAATTATTTTTTCAACCTCATTATATTCTTGGCTAATACCACAAAACAGACCCAAGCTATCAGAAATTAGGCCATGTAAGAATAATAAGTAAATAAGAAAAAATGTTGCTAATAAATCTTTTTTAAAACTCTGATGAAGAAAGTAATGGGACTTCGGAAGCTACACTCACACGGGTCATGTCCTTAGAGAAGCTCGTGTCCCACGGCAGAAAAGACAAGTATGTACATAAGGAAGTCACAGAAGAAAGGCGGCTCACAGTGAAGAGATAGTGGCGCGCTGCACGCAGTCAGTGAGGAACGAGACCCTTCTCTGCCGGGGATGAAACACAATAACTTGGAGACTAAGGTGCTGGTAACCCGGGCCGTGGAGAAGGGGTGCAGTCAGGTCATGTGGGTACTGAGCGAAGACAAGTAGCACAGTGGACGCTCCTGAGAGAAAGCAGAGGAGATCATGACTGAAGAAGAGAACAGACCTCCATCTAGCTGGGGTGGAAGACACCGGGGCAGAGAACCGGGGGAAGAAGGGCTGGTTTCCCACCGAAGGATGGAGGTCCTGGGGGGAGGGGGACAGGCTACAAACGTTTAGAACAGACATTCTAACAATCACAAAGCCTCGGTGGTATGTTGGGTTATGGGCTGAGCCACTAACACAAAGTTTCACTAACTTTTCTTCAGTTTTAAAGATGAGGCAGTCTGCTCTCATTACAGTTTGTAGCCTGAGAAATGTGATGAGGCATTTCTACTTTATCCTCCAGGGTTGCTAGGAATTGGAGTCAACTTGACAGTACTGAGATTGAGTGCTGAAATAGCCAGTGAGCCCTGGGTGTGTGGGTGTGTGTGTGTGTGTGTGTGTGTGAAAGGGGGAGGGGGAGGGGTAAGGGAGGGGGAGAGAGAGAGAGAAAGACTCAAGGATTAGGAACAGGCATATCTTTCGGATGAACCATTATTCAGCATAATCAGCCCACCAAGAAGAAAGAATGATGAGGCCAAGTGACAAGAGCAGGACCATATTAACAAAAGACTATGGAAGGCACTGGGCACCTGGCATGGAGAACTTTCTCAGGGAGGCAGACAGAAAGGAGTAAGTGAAAGCTGGAAGACAAAAGTACCGACCAAGGTTTATTTTTAAAAGTCTTTTATTGTTCTCATTTTTTTTTTTTTTTTACTACAAATACTGGTGAGTTGACAGGAAACTCCATCACAAATGGCAGGAAGGATCCAGCAGAGAGGGAGAGAATGAAGACTCCGCGTAGGAAAAGCAAAAACCGGGCAAGTGAGTGTGCGGAGAGGTGGCTGGTTAGGGCTTTGAGGCTGAGACAACGGGACTCCCCTGGAGAGGAGGAAGGTCACAGGGACACATTGTGTTGGGGGTGTGGAGGAGGAGCTGAGTGGGTGGCATTAGAAGATGATAGGCAATAAGAATTGAAAGCCTCAGGTGGCCTTAGTAAATTTGGTGAGGTAGGGGATAAGGCGCTTCCCTTAAAATAATGACACTGAAGTGGGAGTTTGAGACAAGAGAGACTGCTGGAGGAGCCCTTAGCAGCATCGTTTACGGACTCAGCTGCTAACTGAGAAGGCAACGGTTCAAAGCCTCCAGACGGTTCACGGAAGAAAAACACAGCAGTCCGCTTCCGTAAAGACTCACAGCCTTGGAGACCGCAGGGCAGCCCACTCTGTCCTGCAGGACCACCACCAACAGACGGCAACAGAGCTCTTTGGTCGGTTGACCAGTTGGCTGGTTCGGGAGTGCTGGTAACATATTCCACGCACTGTCTGACAAGAAGACATTTAGAGACGCATGAGAGGATCAGCAAGTGCTTTAAGAGGTGACCACGTTCTGTTCATGGAGAGGTAACTTCCTTTGTGATACTAAAGCAACAGAGAAAAAGAGACTGTACGACAAGAAACTTCCAAGATCGAGGCAAGGGTGACGCAAACAGAAAGCCTCCAAGCAGTCAGATCAGGCCTCACAGGCACCCCGCCCTCCCAGAGAAGAACCATTCCCGGCAGCCATCTCTGTCGCATGGGGTGAAATGGACCCAACCAGCCAACAGCAGCAATCTTTACATAAGCTCATGCCACACTTGCCTTCCTCGGGTGAGTTTGTCCCATCAACCTTTCAGTTAGAAGGTAAATGCGACTCGTTTGTACCACGCAGAGACCTCCCTCTCAGAGAGCAGAGGGAGATGTGCAGAAGAGATCAGGAGAGGAAGTCAAGTTAGGAGAGGCAGAGTGAGGAGACAAAGCACAAAGGCTACTGCAGCCCAGGTGGTCCTGACCTAGGAGACCCCATGGGCTGAGAACAGAATCGCTCCATTGAGTTTTCTCTGCTGTCACTTAATGCAAGCAGGTCACCAGGGCTTGTCTTCTACGGCGTCGTTGGATGCGATCAAACACCTACCTTCACATCAGGGTCTTGTCAGATCAAGTCTTGTCTGCGGCCACGACAGTGAGTGGGTTTAAACACTTGCCTTCAGGTTCTCCTTTGAGAGGAACCAGGAGACAAAAAGGAGGAAGAGTTTTCATACTCTGGTGGGGTGGGTGTGTCTTCCTTCATGTCCATGTCCAAGAACACCTTCTTAGGTTGTAGATCTCACTTCACTGCTATTCACGTTCCATCCTGACAACTGCCCTTCTGCTGTAACACCTGAGGGTAAATCTCATTAAGGACTTGACTCTGATCACCCAAAACAGTCACCTAAGTAGTTTCCTTGTGTCATTCCTCTTTATTTACATTAGACACATAATTTTACAAGGACAATGTAAGCAATGCTTAGCGGGCTGGATTGCAATTCCGGGAATATTTCCATTTGTCTAAAAGCTATCCTTAAAAGTCTGTAAAATTGCCTTATGGGAAAATCTCAACATAACTCTCCTGGAAAATCTCTGAATCCTAACACCATCAGCTGTGTAGCTTTCTTTTCCTTTGTTGATCAGTTGCTATCTCCTTCCTGCAGTCATGTCCCCAGTGATGTGACCAGGAGCCCCAGGGAGTGAGGCTTGAGAATATGTGTCTCAAGGGCTTCTAAAAGCCACAGGGCCATCTAAAGGAAGTCAGGACCCCAGAAAGCCCATGCCGTGCCCAGGGTGTCAACTAGAGGAGTCCTAGGGCATGGAAAGATCAACATTACAGGCTCAGGTCTGCTCATTTAAATGTTCATTCAAAGCTGATCTTCAGGTCTGCTCATTTAAATGCTCATTTAAGCTGATCTCTGAGCCAGGTTTTGTTTTCTGTGGCTGCCCTAATAAACTGAGCAGCTCAGGAGTGCCTGGGCAACATCAGTTAAATCCTCAACTGTTGTATTTCTCACATATGTGTACCCACTTAACTAGCATGTACACATGACACATGTAGTGTCCATGAGATGCTGACTCATCAAAGAGCTGTGCAGTTTCCAAAAGC